CTGTGTTACTGTGTGCATATGTGTGTGTGTGTATCCTTCAGGTTGCTGCTGTGTTACTGTGTACATATGTGTGCGTGTCTCCTCCAGGTTGCTGCTGTGTTAAAAGGTTACTGCTGTGTTACTGTGTACACATGTGTGCATGTGTCCTCCAGGTTTTGTTCAGGCCTCAGCAGACAACATCATTTGTGCTCATGTTTTACAGCCAGGGGTGCTATGTAGAGTATGGCCTTAGCTTCTTTTCATGTCTTCTAGGTCCAGGGAGTTGGCAGCAAGGGATGGCGTGATGTCACCACTTTCTTTTCTGGGAAAGCTGAAGACACTTCAGACAGGTAGGCCATGTCCCCACCCAGGCCCTGGGTCTTTTGGGCTCCCTGCTGGTGGCCTGGCCTCGCACCCTCTGCCCAGTGTTGCACTGAGTCCTTGCTAGAGGCAAAGTGACTGCCCTCTCACCCTCAGCACTGGGGCCCCTGTGTGCTCTTCCCCAGTGCCCTAGTAAATACCCTACAGTTTAGGTGATGATAATACGGGTTGAGGAAGGCTAAGTTAGCTCTCAAAGAAAAGGGTCCCTCACTTCGTAGGGTACCCTGACCCTACAGGGATACTAGGAGGTACTTTAAAAGGCAGCACCCTGTCTAGCCAGGAAGAGAGCATGGAGCTGTTGTAGGTCAAACCTGAGCAGATTGGGCAGCTTGGCGGGTGCAAGTAGTGCAAGTGTCTTTCTGTGACAACTTTTGAGATTTTATTCCTCTCCGTAATAGACCCTTCGAGGGCCACAGCTACCAAAACAGCAGTGGGGACAACTCCCAGAACAGCACCATAGACCAGAGCTTCTGGGAGACCTTTGGGAGTGCTGAGCCCCCCAAGGCCAAGTCCCCGAGCAGTGACAGCTGGACCTACGCAGACGCCTCAACAGGGAGGAGGAGCTCGGACAGCTGGGATGTTTGGGGCTCAGGTTCCGCATCCAACAACAAGAACAGCAACAGCGATGGCTGGGAGAGCTGGGAGGGCGCCAGTGGGGAGGGCAGGGCCAAGGCCACCAAGAAGACTGCCCCATCTACGACCACTGATGAGGGCTGGGACAACCAGAACTGGTAGGCGCCTTGCTGCACCTAGGCCCCAGCTCTGCTGGGACTGCTGTGTTTGCACTTTACCCTTTCTGATCCTCCTTCATTTGACCTCAGTGTGAAGACGGTAGCTCAGGCAGGACTTGAGTGGGTGCTGCCTGCCTGGTGTGGGGCGGCTTCCTCTTAGGCCTCAGGGCACCTGTCATCATCTGCCTCCTGGGTCCCCTGAGCAGCCTTCCTGGACTCTAGGTTCTTGGGACCCAGGCACTGTGTCTGCAGCCCTGGCCCAGCCTGGAACTGCAGTCCTGTGCAATGTCAGCCAAGCCAGACATCTGCTTTTGTTGAAATGTCTTTTAAAACTTGAAAGGTCTGCTCCTGTCCTTTTTTTTTTCCTTGAAGAAAACGCCTGGAATCTTAAGCTGGAAAGGAAATGACAAAAGCAATATTGGAGCTCGCACTGCCACCGACGCCCTCACCTAAGTCCACGGCCTGTGGCCTGTGCTGTGAACCTCACTTTGTGACCTTTGCCTTTCCTGCATCAGCCTGTCCAGCCTGTCCAGCCCTTAGTTCCGTGGGACAGACTCTCCACAGCTGGCCACACATGGCAACTTGGGCTCTGGCCCTCCCTGGACACCTGACTTGAACTTGGCCAGTCCCGGAAATGAGGAAAGTAATTAAAGTAAAGGAACTAGGAGCATTTTCAGCGTATCTGCCACTCCCGCCTGGCACAAGGGAGCCTGAATATGGAGGGTGGGCTGAGGGGCCAGCGGCCACTGCCAGGGTTGGAGCGTCTTGATGGGGACCCTTGTGTCTACAACAGCCCAGGCCTTCTCCCAGCCTGCTCAGGGTGCTCAGGGTCAGAGCACACTCGGTCATGTCTCCTCAGCATGCAACTGTCCCTCCAGATGGCCCCATTTTCCACCCTGTGGACTTCGTGGAACATTGCAGTTGAGACCCATGTGCTACCAGTGGTTGGTGTGACAGCCTTTTCCTCCCAGGATTCCATGACTGCTGTGTGCTGTGGCCGGGGAGCCCAGCTGGGTCTCTGTCTCCTTAAACCCACGCCTGTCTTGATCCTCAGTTTGACCAGCAGTGCATGACCTGACGCTCTGTGTGGTGTGTGTGTCAAGTTTACTTCTGCTTCCTGGGGTTGAGCTGTCCGTGCTCTAAGGTCCCAGTCCTGGCTTACCTTGGGGATTCCAGTTCTTCGCAGAACTGATAGGTTTTTCGGTTTGGGGAGCCCTCCTAGGTGCTTTATCCTCAGGTCACAGAACATCCTGAGCTGGGAAAACAAGGGGAGATACCTAGGGTTCATGACTGACAGAGCAGCCACAGGTAGATGAGATCAGAGGTCATAGACTTGGGTTGAGAAGCCAGTGGGATTTGTGGGAGCACATAGACATTTGGTCAAAAGTCAAGGAAGTCTGACCATGGAGGGGGGATCTACACCAAGTGCTGATACATCCCAGAGCAGGGACTGTGATTCCGTGGATATACAGTGGTATAAAGGGGATGAAATTGGTTGGTTCTGGGCTGAGAAGCTGCCTGCTCCAGGTCATTTTGGGGGTGGGAAATGGCCCTAGTTACCTACAGTTTCCTCTGGTACTTTGTTCAGTAAATAGAGGGATTGCAATTTTCAAGCCTTGTTTGAACATAACCCAGAGTTCTCCAGACTTTTACAACCCCTCAAAGGAAAAGATGAGTAAGGCCCAGGTCAAAGTACTAGAGCATTTGGCTGTTTTTTGGAGCCTGTATGTGGGGAACTTGCCAGACTATATCCTACAAACACAAATTCTAGAGGACCTGTTCCCTTGAGTTTACAAGGACAAACACATGCCAGGTACTCTGGGCTTCAGTGGGGCAACAGTTCCAGGATAGGCCTGGTTACACTTAGGCCAGATAGTCTGGGCTTAGGTGACTTGACAAGGGGCTGAAGAACCCTGGCTGCCTCTCTGCTTGGTCAAGTAGCTTGGAAGGTGGGAGAGACGGTGGTGGCATCTTGGACTGGCTCTGAGCTTGTCCCTTGGGTAGATAGCCATTCCTGGGCCATGTTGATGGGCTCTCATCCAGACTCCACGTCCTTCTTGAGGCAGGTAGTAGCTTGGCCTCTGCCTTCCGTCCTCCTGGCCTTGACCGGGAGATGTCCCGTGTGGGAGTGTGGAGTTTATGAGTAGTGGCCTGTAGAGGGGCTTCTCCGTGGGTAGCACTTAAGGGCCAGGGGTGATGTTGATGCATGGTCTCCCACCAAGTGTCCTTGATGAAACTGATGCCTCTTTTTAACTGGGGAGTGTGGGCTTGGGCAGCTGACCACCAGGGACATCTGTTTCTCAAGTCAGTCTTTGCTCCAGACTTCCTGCCCAAACCCAGCCAGACCAGAGGGCACTTTGGGTCAGCCCTGTTCTCTGACAATTAAGATAATACTCTTGAGTGTCTGCAAGCCACTTGCGGTCTTCACACTTGATTGCTTATGTTGTGATTCCCGTCCTGGTATCCCCACTGTTGGACTGTGGTCCAGGAGAAAGGTGAGCAGACTCTAGGGTACCCTGATCTGGTTTAGAGCACGGATCCCAGAGCATGGGGATAGGGTGTACACATGCCATTGTATGTGGGGAGGAGGACCATTGGACTGGTTTAAGGGCATCACCAGGCAGCATGAGGTGAATACAGGGTAGCCCACCTGAGGGTCATAGTGCAAGGGAGTGCTGAGGTATTTGTGGATGCATATAGGTGCTTCAAGGTATCTGAGCTGTGGCCATACATGCGTATACCCGGAGATTACCAGGATGAGTTCTTTCATCTGACTGACCCATGGTGAAGGTCTGCAAAGACTGTGAGCCTGGGTCCTAGGTTGTGGCGTTAGGAGCTTTCAGCATGGCGTCAAGAAAGAAGACTGTGCCCCCATTTGCATGGATTACATACTGGTCCTTGGCCAGGTTTGTCCGAGGCCATGTGTAATTTGGGTTGTCTCCTGGCCAAAGTGGTATTGTATGAGGGGCTATTATGAACAATTGATTCATCTCAGGGAAGAGTACCTAGGGGAGGAGGTACCTGGCAATTGCTGTTCCCACAGACATGAATAACCTCTGACCAAGTGGGATATAAGTCATCCAGCTTCAAGGAGCCTATTCCAGGATATATGTTCCTATCCATCCTCTGGGCAACTCAGTAGGGAAACAGTGTCCTAGAAGACAGAAAAGGCTGGCAGTTCTGCAGCCTCCCATCTTGCAGGGCTCTTGGGCTAAGCTAGGGGTCGGGGGGGGGGGTGGATGAGAGGTGGGGTAAGGGACTTTGATCAGGTTAGGATATAGTGGGTTGGAGCCAATGTGTAGTTGAAAACAAAGCTGAGACTGCACTGGACCCACGGGAACCCAGAGTGACTGCTTCACAAGCCACGCCTTCAGGTGGGAGCTGGAACCCTTTATTCTGGGCCTAGTCTTCTGAGCCAGCTTGCCAAGAGTTACAGGAGCTAGGCCACGGGGAGTTCAAGATGGATCAGGAGAGCTTTGCTTAGGGCAGAACCAATTCAGGCTGGAGTGGAGACAGTGAAAGGGCATACCAGGTGCAAGTAGTGTAGGAATGGGCCTGCTCCTAGGAAACATTTGGGGTCTAGGGCAGACAGGAAGGAAGGGAGTAGAGATCATGAACCCTAGTGGTTGGTAGAGTCTAAGTGGTCCTTCCTCCCGGTAGGCTGACAGAGACTCCTAATGTCCAGCACCTACCAGCTCAGCACCCAGGACCACACAACTGGCCTTTATTCTCAAGAAGCCTGTTCCCTAGTTCCCCTACTGGGATTCCTGTTGTGGCATGCAATGGGGTCCTTTGTGCTGGGACCACCATCTCATTCTCGGAAATGCCTTAGGCAGCGGCAGACAGAGGGGAGGAGAAAGGACTTATGGGCGGGACAAGTGATGTCAGGGAAAGGCGCCTTTTATAAGCCCCAGCTTTCCAGTGGGCACAGCTGGACCAGGAGAATCAAGAGGCATCCTTGGAGCAGGTTAGTGACTCATCTATGGCCCCTGGACTGGGTAGGTGAAGGGGCCACCAAGAGTCCACTCAGGCTATACTGGAGGCTGACTTTGAACTTTCAGAAAGATTGGAATGAGGTCTCATAAGTGGAGAGACCAAATGCAGCCCAAACACCTGAGCAGATTTTTGGAATCCTGTGAGGGTCTCAGATGACGCTCAGAACTGAGGGTATACAAAAGGGTTGTGTCCAGCAGAGGGAGGCTTCTTCAACTGTGATATGAGATAGGAGTGGCTTCAGAATGAGTTCAGAAGGTTAGGGTCATCTAAATGTGGCACCTGTAGACAGATAGGACAGTGATCCATACTGAAGCCTTAGTTTGAATTCCTTGGCTAGATGCATATATCCACTCTAGGGTGGTCTTTCTCAACTTTCCTGATGCTGACCCTTTAATACAGTTCCCCAACCTTAAATTATTTTCATTGCTACTTTGTAACTAATTTTGTTACTGTTCTGAATCATAACATTTTTTTCCGATGGTCTTAGGCCATCCCTGTGAAAAGGCCTTTTGAACACTTAGGGGTCACAACCCACAGTTGAGAACCACTGCTCTAGACAGTATCAGCCTGCAGCCTTCCTGCAGGTCTGGGTCCCTGCTCAGGGAGAGCTGGATTCCTTGCAGAGAGTACCCTTGAATATGCAGGGAAGTTTTTCAGGTCCTTTGTTCAGTGGGGAGGAGAATCTGGATTCCCCAGGACTCCCGTCACCTCATGCTCACAAAATCCAGACTGGGTCATGCTTGTGTCTCCTCCAAAGTGCCACCCCTGGGCAGTGGACTCTTGGCCTCTCTACCCCATTGGCCTCTCTTTCAAACATTGTCTCCCAACTTCTGAGAGCTCTCAAGTTTCCCAATACTTTTCATTCCTACCCTTGAATTGCCTGCCTGCTTCTGCTCTGGTCAGAATTTGGTCTTGAGTGTGTCCTTTGCTTGAGGGCAAGCCACCCAAGATGAGGACCTTGATGGTAGGGTCCTATCCAAGCCAATCCCAGACTCTGTGGGGCTGCTGGGGCCTCAAGGTCTTGTGACTGCTGGTGACCCCCCCCCCCCACTGTATGTATCTGTTGTGGATGTGGACACCAAGGGGCATGGGCAGGCGTGCTGGACCCAATGGACCCTACTCAGGGAGAACTGGTTCCCTGCAGAGAGTGCTTTGGAGTACAGAGGAGGTTGTGCAGCGAAGGGTCCTTTGTTCAGTGGGACGCCTTCAGTGCTAGTCTTCGATCCTCAGTGTCTGTCACCATCCCCATTATGACAAGTCGTACCACACATGTCTATGGAGACATCCTCCTGCTCCATGGGAATGCGTGGAGAAACTGGCTTCCTGGTCGGGGGTGGGGCAGATAGCTGAATTAGTGATGAAGGGCTGTGGCCTCTCCTGCAGGCTGCTCGTCATGAGCCTCCGAGGCTCCCACCTCCACTCCTGCCTCTGGATGTTGTTGGGTGCCACCTTGGCATTGGGGCTGGGACAAGGTAAGGAGACAATGCCCCCACTGCCTGCAGGAGGAACCCTGCTGCAAACCTTTGACTTTCCATAGAAGGCATTTCCTCATAGATTGAATGCCTGTTTAAGAGCTTTCTCAGCAACAGGCAAGCTGTTAAGACAGAGGGAGAGAGTCCTCATTCTCAGCTTTTGTCCTGACCTTTGGCCCTGTGGTCTTCCAGCTTCAGCCTTGCTTAGGGAGTTTTTGTTTGTTTGTTTGTTTTTTGTTTTTTCTCAGCTTTTTCAGGATTACTGGCATACTCCAAATTTAATCCTGTGGTGATGCTTTGCTTAGTTATTCTGTAAACCTTTCAGTGTGGTATCAGACAGCACACACACAGCTTAATCGAAAGATTCCTGCCTCCTTCCTGAGATGAAAAGACCTTCCTGCACTGTCTTAGACAGGTAGTGCATCTCTCTTCTCTGCACAAGTCTTAGGACAAGAGTTTCTATCTGGTCCCCACCTATTTGGCCACTCCAGCCACTCTTCTTGGGAAAGGCTCTCCTGGTGTCTTCCATGACCTCCAAGGGATGTGTACAGGACTTGGGGAGGGTCTATGTTGCAGACTCCTTCCAGGGGAGCTGCTGCTGGCTCAGGTGGGTCCCAGGAAGACAAGTTGCTGTGTCCCTTTAGCCTCCACACTCATGGCTATACCTAGCTCCCAGGAGCACCTGACTGGGTTGAATCTGTTTCTGGGATTACATCAATGTCTAGCCTTATTCAAGTTAAGAACCTCTTCCTGTTCCTACTATCCACTGCACTGTAGGTGAGTTCAACTCAGTTATCCTGGAACCCAGCAGACTTCATTTCCCAGCATATCCACCATCCAGAGAGGGGACTGCCACACAGGAGTGTCCCTTAGCTCCCTTTGTTCAGACAGAGGAGCCCCAAGGTGGGCTTGTGGACTGGGATTTCAATCAGAAGGAAGCCTTGCTATGAGTATGACCAATTGAGAGTGATTCTACAAGACCCACAATGCACTGTTCTGCCACCTCAGATCTCAGCGTGACAGGCTGCCCCTCATCAGCCCTTTGCATGGCTGGGGTGGACTGGGGTCTGAGAGAACAACCAAAGAGGCAGGGCCCACAATATTCGCCAACTGGCTGGGAGGTGCATCTGAGGTTAGGGAGGGGAGCATGTGCCTGTGTGGTCTCTGAGAGGGAAGTTCTAAAAGTCTCTAACACATTGCAGGGGGAGGAGAGAAACAGAAGCTTCTTCATGGCAAGGATTGGGGCCCCTGCTCACAGCTGGCCTGTCAGAGCCCCCACCTTCTCCTGACACATTTCTGCCTTCAGTAGATCACTGTCAGAGCAGCCAAGCCCATCTGGAAACAGTTCGTTCTGAATGGGTCATTGTGTCTATCCCAGATGCCCCCAGTCTTTGCCTATCTCTTTGTGCCCCCGCACATGGTGAAGGGACTAGAAGAGGCCTCTGTCCCCATTTTCCAAAAATAACTGCCTGCACCACAGAGCCCGGAAGCTTTCTGGGAGGTCAGCACAGACCCCACTGCCCTCTCCTCCCCATTCACTACGGGTTTCTCCCCCTCTTCCATGGGTAGCAGGAGCTTGAAGCAGCTGGTCACATTGCATCCACCATCAGAAAGCAGAGAGGATTGACCATGTATGCTAGAGCTCAACTCACTAGCTCGGTGTCATATGGTCTGGAATCTCCTGCCAAAGGAATAGTTCCATCTGCAATTAAAATATGTCTCCCCACATTGTTAACAAATCAAGATAATCCCCCCACAGACATACTCCCAGTCTGATATCCTAGGCAATTTTAGATTCTGTCAAGCTGGCAATGCTAACCATCATACTGCCAACTCTAGTGTGAGGGCTGAAGCTAGGTGTGCATTCTACTCGTGCCCACATTTAGGCACAGGTGCACACAGACACACCGTGTGTGCATAAGCAGACAGCCATCACCACACTTCCAGCTGAGGTCCTTTACCCAGTCTGCCCACAAGGGATGCATCAACCTAGCATGACTTTGGTGGGGGTGGGCATCTTCAGCAGCGCGGCTGCTTCTACAGAATTCTTGAGAGCAGAAGACACAAAGCAGCTTTTAAGGCCCTGGGCAGTGGGTCAGTAGCTGCTGTTTTACCTCTGCACCTCTAATCATCACAGGACACTGCTCCCGGTGCTGATCTGAGCCTCCTTTACAGCAGGGGCTTCCCCTTGGGTGGAATTAGACTCCCTCCTGCTGAAGCTAACAGTGTGGCCATGTCATCGAGAATCTTAAGAGTGAAGGGTTTTTCCTCCACAGAAAAATTTTGAGCCACAGATTCTTCAGACACCTGGATGAAGATATATCCCTTCCAAGATCTTAGGGGAGGCCTCCCTCTGGTTGTAGGAGGTGGTCAATTAGTCACTGGTAAGTCTGTCTTGCACCCCAACCTCCAATCCTGTTTTCACAGTAAGTGGCCGTCTGAGGCTGGCAGTACTGCCTGAGGACCAGCTGCAGATGAAGTGGAGGGAAGCAGAGGGGAGTGGCCTTGGCTACTTGGTGCAGGTGACACCTATGGCAGGTATGACTTCTGCTCCTTTTCCATTAGGACTGTTAGAAACAGGTTTAGGCTCTCAAGAAAATGACCCCAGTCCCAAGTGTTTTGGCAAAGCATGAAGCTTTACTTCTGCAGAATGGTATGTAGCCAGGTTTAATCAAGTAAGTGAGCACACCCAGTCAGAGGCCCCACTGTGGTTTTGTTCCTAACCAAAGGGGTCTTGTACTGCACTCTGAGCTATCAGAGCTGGGTCTCACATTCTTACAGATTGGCTAACTTAAAGCAATATAGTTGGTTAACAAAGTACAGCTTCTAAGAGTATGATGCAACCTCGAGCACAAACATGGATCTTAGAAAAATGCTAAAGGGTGGACAGGGACTTTTTTCTTCTGGATGTGTTTTTTTTTTTATTTATATTTGTTCCACAAATTTCTTTTTTTGTCATATTTTATTTATGTTTTAATAAATGCTTGCCTGAAGATAAGAGTACAAATTTCTTTAAAGATGGAACCTCCTTTGTCTCATTAAATGCTTCAGTAGAAAAGGCAGTGCATTTTATTTATACCTACAGAGGCTCTCCACTGAGAAAAGCAAGGAAAATGACTCTTTAGCTAGCAGGTGGTCACTGGGCCTGCTCCAATCGGCGTCTCCTTACACACCCAGTGGCTCCCACTCTCTGGCCGGGCCACTTCTACATTTCCTCTGTCAGACTCCATCACATGGAGCAGCTGTGGTTGGGGAGGCCTCTGTATTCCCCTGTACCCAGCACGAGCACACACAGAAGGTGCTCAGGACATATGCTTGAAAAGTGGTGACTCCCTCGTCAGAATGGGTCCCAGGGCTTTAAGAATAGCCTGAATCCCGCATGCAGTGAGCATGTGAGAGAGCAGTTAGCCCTCCAGTTACAGGGACAGGGTCGTGATGATGCAGGCTTAAGTTGGGTGTGGTAAGGTTTTACCTGTTTTCTAACACTCAAGACCAACCTGAGCTACATAGATGCTCTTTTTATTTTTTCTTCCCTGTGGCTTAGAGGAAGAGTAATAGATTTAGCTCCATAAGTTATAAAAGAATAATTGTAGGGATGAGGATGTAGATCAGTGGTAGGCTTGCCCAGCATGTGCAAGGCTCTGGTGTGACTGAGCTCCAGTATTGAAAAAGGAAAAAAGAAAAGCTAAGAATTTAAACATCCATATTAAGTTATATGGAACAGAAAAGTAAATTTGGGTAGACTAGAAAGAAATGATAGAAAAGAGAATAAATTATAGAAATAAAAACATGAGGTGAATCAACAAAGCCAAAATATATCTTATAGAATACTAATAAAATGGATAACACAATACTAATAAAATAAATAACAAAGTAATTGATTTGAGTTTAAATCTACAGTCTTCCAATTTGCTTTCTTTTTAGAAACATTCTAAATGGATAGTGACCCAGAGTATTCTTTTTAATCAGTATGACAGTCTGTCTTCTTAAATTGTGTGTGTGTGTGTGTGTGTGTGTGTGTGTGTGTGTGTGCATGCGTGCATGCGTGTGCATTGGTGCAGGTGCCCTTAAAGGCCAGAGGATATGGATGTTTCTGGGTCTGGAGTTACTGGCAGCTGTGAGCTACCCAGCATTGGCCGGGAATTTAACTTCATCTGCTACAAAAGTAGCAGATGCTCTTAATTGTTTGCCATCTTTCCAACCCCAATCTTTGTCTTTTAGTTGAAACATTTTATCTATTTTTATTTAACAAAGTAATTGATTTATTGACCTTTAAAGTTACATTCTTCCAATTTGTTTTATTTTTGATATACTTTTGTTACACTTTTATTCTCTTCTTCTTTGGGGCTATTTTTATGGGAATTTTAAACACCTGGAAAGCAACAGGTGTGATGGAGCCTGGGGTTAGGCACTAAATGTCACAGGTAACATGTGGCCAGCCCAGCTTTGTTTCCCTTCTTGTTACCCTCCTGGCTGCATGATTTTAAAGCAAATCTGAGACATTGTATAAGCCTGTCTTTGTTCTCCTTAGAGAAGGAACTTCTCAAACACAGCTCAAGGGCCATTGGCATGCCTCCAAATTAAAACCACAACTTTGCAGTTCATCCAAAAATATCTTCTAGGGGCTGGAGAGATGGCTCAGTGGTTAAAAGCATTGCCTGCTCTTCCAAAGGTTCTGAGTTCAATTCCTGGCAACTACATAGTGGCTCACAACTATCTGTAATGAGGTCTGGTGCCCTCTTCTGGCCTACACACACACACACAGACAGAATATTGTATACATAATAAATAAATAAATAAATATTAAAATATCTTCTACAATTGAACAACCTTAATTAGGACCCCAAATGAAGATATGCATCTTTCTGCCCCTGAAATAGGGTCGTTTTTGTGGCCCAGCTTGGCCTTGAGCTCCCAATTCCCTCGCCTCAGCCTCCTGAGTATTGAGATTGCCAAGTGTGAGCCACACGCCAGGTAGAGGTATACTAGCCCTGTGCCTCTTGTAATTTTTCCTCTCTCCTATCCCCTTGGTATTTACTTGTAGGAGAAGCCAGATCCCCGTGTCCTTGTCTAGCAATGACATCTTTGAGATGCTGTGTGACTTGCCCCTCTCTCCCCTGTGTCTCTTGTAGATTGGTAGTTGGATGCTGGAGTTTAGTCAGGTTCAAGTTGTGCTGTCTTTGTTAGTTAAGATTGGGTGGTTTTTTTGTTTTGTTTTATTTTGGTTTTTTTGTATCGCAGATGGTTGTTCATAATGTTTACTTTTACTGTAGCATTAAGATTGGCTGGCAGGTATTGGATGAAGAGTTCATGTCTTCTTGAGCTTGATAGTCACTCATTTATCTCCTCATGCCCTGGTGACCACCTTAGACACAGCGGCACACATCCTCATAAACATCTGGCAAGCCTGATATCCTATGCCACCTTTTATAGGTGGTGCTGCAACCACTGAACACCCCATCTCTATCCTGCTTCATGAATCCTATTCTGTGATATATTAAATCTCATAACATATTTTCAGTATGATAGTTGGTCATTAGTCTACATATGTAAAGGTGGGCTCATGTCCTAGTCTGTTTTTCTTTTTTCTTTTTTTTTTTTTTTGGTTTTTTGAGACAGGGTTTCTCTGTAGCTTTGGTGCCTGTCCTGGAACTAGCTTTTGTAGACCAGGCTGGCCTCGAACTCACAAAGATCCGCCCGCCTCTGCCTCCCGAGTGCTGGGATTAAAGGCGTGCGCCACCACCGCCCGGCTTCTTTTCTTTTTTTTAAGGCAAAAATTTATTAATAGCTGGGTCTTATTTTCAGTCTCCCATAATAGGAGAATAGAAACAGTCCATATTAAAGACAAGAGCAGTTTCTTTACATCAAGCAAGAAAGTGATTTAAGAGTGGAATGCAGTTATTTTTATGATCATGGGAATGGTACATGTTTATGGTCATAGAGTTAACAAACCACAAAACATTTTATGGTCAGTCAATTCTCAGAACAACAAAAACAATTTATGATGTGTAATCCACAATGTGGTTGAGGAAAAACCACCCAAAATGTTAGCCTCTAGCTGAGGAAATGACAAAAATCTAACATTGTTTAATTAAAAAGAAAAATGAAGTCAGCTGTCTTTAATCTGTAACAAACCAAAGGCAATGGAAAGTAAACAATCTCAATGAGCACGGCTTACACATGACAAGTCAGAGCCTGTATCCTGTGACCCCGACCTCCAACAAGGCCACACCTCCTTAAAATCCCACACACTATGGGGAACATTTTCTTTCAAACCACCAAATTCCACTCCCTAGCCCATAAAGGCATGCAACTATATCATAATGCAAAAATGCATTCAGTCCAAATGCAAAAGATTCCAGTCTATGACAATCTAAACAAAGTCCAAAGTCCAGAGTCTCTTCTGAGTCATGTAATAACTTTCATTGTAATTAAAATAAAAAAAAAACCAAATCACATACTTCCAACATATGGCACAGGATACTCATTACCATTCCCAAACACAGGGAAGAAAGTATGGAAATACTGGACCAAAACAAGACTGAAAACCAGCTGGGCAAACTCCAAACTGTTTCCACGTCTGATGTCAAATGTTCTGCAGAGCTCCACTTCCCTTCACTTGTGTCGGCTGCAGCACACTTCCTTCTCATGGGATGGTTCCGCTCTTTGTTCCGCTTTCTTCACCAGATAGCTCATGACTCTGCCATCTCCAATATCTTGGGGTCTCCAAGGAAATACAGGTTTCTCTTTCACAGTTTCACACACTAACCCCTCTGGGCTCCCATTCAGCACACCCCTGACACATATATGGCCTTAGTCGCTTTCCTCAAATGAGGAGGAAGGGTCCACATACCTTTCTTCTATCCTTGAAGCCAGAATTATGAGGTCAAAGCTGCCGAGTTCTCTTGCTTACTGGGGCTGGAAATAGCCCCTTCACCGGCTTTGTTTTCAATAATTTCCTTCACTGCCTAAGGCTGGTTGTTCTGGAACTTGCTTTGTAGAAAAGGCTGGCCTTAAACAAGAGATCTGTCTGGCTCTGCCTTCCCAGTGCTGGAATTAAAGGCATGTATCACCACACCTGGCTGTTAGCTTCTTTTTAATTCCTTTCACAAGTTGGAAACTTATCTGGGTGGGATGGTGCCCTGAGGTCACCACTTCCATTTTTCTATTTCTTAATCTGTCTATCTCCTGGAACACAGAATTCAACTCCATTGCACTTAACTCCATTCCTGATGCACACACATCAACCCACATGTATGTACACACATGTATAGTAAATTTGGCAGTCTCAACAACTTTCCACCTCCGCCTAGGGGACTTGGAGCAGGAGCTGATATTAACCACCAAGATGCCCAAGGCCACCGTGGGTGGCCTGAGCCCTTCCAAGGGCTACATCTTGCAGATCTTCGAGCTCACTGACTCTGGGCCTGTCCTGCTGGCACGAAGGGAGTTTGTGAGTAAGTCCTCCTGCACGCAGACAGGGGTGGATGTGGGCGGAAGGCCTCTGTGTTCAGAGCTCATGGTCTGGCCTTGTGACCTGGGCATTTTGCCTGTGAGGTTCTAGGGTCTTGTTTCCTGTTCCTGACATTGATGCTCACCTCCCATGAGGTGGGCAGGTTCAGAAAGTACATAAACCCTCAAGTCCCAAGCCCCTGCTCCCATTCTGGGCTGATGTCCTAACAGTCAGTCCCTCCTCTCTCTGCAGTTGAGGATCTGAAGAGCCACTCTCAGAGCAGAGGCAGCCCGAGGCTGGTAGGACCCACCCTGGATCCTACCTCCTTCCCTCTGGAAGTCTCAGACCCTGAGAAAACACCTGAGCCCAGTATCGCCTTTACCTCAAGCAGAGACTGGCCCATTCTTGGTGGGTCAAAGTGGAGCGGGAGTCAATCCTGGGGGTTGTGAGTGTGGCAGGGGGAAGCCCTCTGAAGCTTCTTGTGTCTCTTGTCGTACGGCCATAAATTCTTGTTTGTATTTGACCAGATGCTCTAGCTTTAATTTAGGCTAGTCATATTCCTGGACTCACAATCTCAGGTGCAGGGGCCACGTAGTCTTTGCCCCAGAGCCCTCGCTTAGGTCTGGGAAGTGCATGGTACCAGATGTACCCCTTGCCTCCAGCAGTGGCCAATAAGGATCAGAGGAAACTCAAGCAGGGCTTTGGTGTGCAGGACCCCGCTCAGCCAACCACAGACCTGGAGAGGCAGAGCCACATTGCAGACTCTGTGGGAAAGGGAGAGAAGCTAGGTAAGGTGACTGCTGTGTTCTGTGGGGTCCTCGCCTGTCCCCCTCACATCAGGAGCACACTGCCTTCTTCACCAGACACAGAACCGTGGGAAGACTTCTGTGCTTAGATTTGGGCATTACTCCCTCATGTCAGGCCCTATGCCCCGTTACGTTGTTATGAATCGGGTCTTCTACTACAGTGTTTACCCCACTATTGAGGGTCTTACAGACATGCCTGTGCCTCCACCTTTAGACTGAGCTTCAGAAACCACAGAGGAATCGTCTACCTGGCTTTGTTTAGAAATCTCATGAGACCTGCCAGGAGCAATCTGTATCAAATTATCAGGGGCCCCAGAGAGCATGTTATCTAAAAAGAACTCTAGGATGATTATGAGGTCACAGAAGTAGTTCCTGATTGCTACTGCCCTGCCTGGTCTTCCTGTCAATTTACCCAGTTTGGACTGTCTGTGGTGCTAGCACCCCCACCCATGACTGGTGGCCACCTACAGGCAGCCAGGCCTGGAAATGTGGGTGCTGGAGCCTGCTCAGCCCAGGGACTAAATTGTCAGGTTCAGACATTAGTGTTGCCAGGGGCCTTGGAAGGCAGAGGTGACCCCTAGACCTGAGACTGTGATCAGCCCTCTTTGAGGGGACTTAGAGGAGTTGGAACCCCAAACTAGGATGCATGAGGGCTTTTCTAAATCTAGGGGGACACAAAGTCCTTGGAAACCCCGACCCCCAAGATCTCAGGGAAGGGTATTTTGAGGACTTCAGTCAGGTCTACAATACCTCAGGTGTCCTGGGGAGGCCATAAGCTTCACCCAATACCTCACCCATTCTTACCTGCCCCAGCTGACCCCCAGTTCCACTGTACGCCCCTAACTCCTACCGATATAATCTTCCTGGTGGACGGATCCTGGAGCATCGGCCACAGTCACTTCCAGCAGGTCAAAGACTTCCTGGCCAGCATCATCACGCCTTTTGAAATAGGACCAGATAAGGTCCAAGTAGGTGGGTACCACCTCCTTTATCTTGCCATTGGGGGAGATTGGACCTCTTAAGCCCTCACCAGAAGAAGGCTGGCAGCTGCCCTCATAACTGGATAGGGAATGCTATAGCCTCCCAAAGTCCAGCAGCCTGTGAAGAGAATTGAGAAACCTGGCTGATGGAAGCCTACTTGGTCTGGATTGGGTCATGTGACTGCTTCACTTTCCCGGTGAACCAGGGCTGCTGTTATAGTCTGCAGGAATGACTAACTCCCAGTCAGTCCCTCTGATGATACCCCTAGGAGAGCCTTGGACCCTGAAAATGTGTCTTTTCCTGGAAGTGAAACCATCAATGGCTGTGCCCAGAGCAGACAACTTTGTAGACATGGTCCTCAAAATACTCCTGGCATTGAGGGTGCAGAAGTACAATATTGCCTAGCACACTTCCCCTGGGGCTGCAGATAAAGAAAGAAACCAAAAACAAATCAAAACACCCTCAGCAACCAGAGTCCACCCCCAGGTCTGACTCAGTACAGTGGGGATCCCCAGACGGAGTGGGACCTGAACTCCTTCCACACCAAGGAGCAGGTGCTGGCAGCAGTGCACAGCCTTCATTACAGGGGAGGAAACACATTCACAGGTGAGTCCTGGGCCTCGAGATTTTGGTTATTATGAAGCCCCTTGGCCAACCTCCCTTTACTCCCCTTTCACCCCTGCACATTTGTGTGATGGGCAGGTGCTGAGCCCACTTCACACTTTAGAGAGCAAACTCCACCTGCACCACCCACCTCAACCTTCGGCAAAAGTGTGGAACTTTGGGCACCTTGTTGAGATGAGTGTCTATGCTGATCATAGGCAGCTTCTGTCAGGATTCCACTCAGCTGGACTCTCAGTCTCACAGGTGGCTTCTTAGAAGACATAGGCATGGCCTTGCTGGGCCTTGGGTACCTTCCAGAGCAGGCACTCTCCCTGATCCCCGGTGTCTTTAGTCTGGCAAGGCAGGACGGACAAGACGCGTGAACAGAGAGCCTGGGATCAAATGTGGGAGCAGCTGTTTTTGAGAAGGCACCTGAGGAGGGAGTGGTTGCCTGTCACTCTGTCCCTGATGTTCCTAAGGCCTCGCCCTGACCCATGTACTGGGGCAGAACCTGAAGCCAGCAGCAGGTGCCCGTCCAGAGGCAGCCAAGGTGTTGATTCTGGTGACGGATGGCAAATCCCAGGATGATGTGCGCACAGCTGCCCGGATTCTTAAGGATCAGGACATTGATGTCTTTGTTGTGGGTGAGCCTGCACAGTGCCCAGGCCCTAGGTTAGAATGCTCATGGCTGGGTGGGCTCTGGGTCACAGACACATCTGTATTCGGGCTTCACCACCTCCGCTGAATAATTGGGTGACCTGAAGCTTCCTCATCCATAGAGGCCAGAGGGCAAGACCTGCACCTTGCAGCAGCATCTGCAATATCTGTCCCTGCCCACTTTGTTGTGACACTCCCCTAACTCCTTTCAGCCCTTCAGCTCACACTGCAGGTAGCCTTCAAGCGGGTTCCCTGCCTGGCAGCTGTCCTTGCATCTGACAGTTCTCCTACCTTCTCCGTCTGCTCCCCAAGCAAGGATTGTTCCTGGTGCTCTCTGGGCACCAACCACACTCACTACCCTGTGTTTGATGGGGAAGGAAACTTCAAATGTAGGGGGTTGCTCTAGGAGCCCTCTCTACCCAAGAGTCCCCACTTTTATGGACACCTGTCACCAGCATCCACATAGTCTGGCCCACTTCCCAGAGCTTCCAGAATTAAGCATTCTGGCTCCCCTGGCTCATTCCTATGTCCCATTGAGATCCCATGGGATCTAGGACATTTGGCTTCAGTGTGTGACCTATGGTATGTTGGGAACTCTAGCAGGTCTCTCCCCAATGGTACTGTGTGTAAACAGGATGAGAATCTCAGAGTGGCACACTCTGTTGGCCACCTGTTGGCATATGCTTCCCCAAAGCAGGTGTGAAGAACGCCGATGAGGCTGAACTGAAGCTCCTGGCCTCCCAGCCACTGGACATCACTGTCCACAATGTGCTGGACTTCCCTCAGCTGGCCACCTTAGCTGCTCTGCTCAGCCGCCTCGTTTGCCAAAAAATTCAGGGCAGGGGCTCAGGTAAGAATCCAGTCCCACAGTGACCAAGGGATAGGGAGACTGAGGCTACACCTGGCCAGTTTTCATGGCCTGTACAGGGGGATGTCTGTCCTTGGGCTATGTTGGAAGAATCTTCCTATCCCTCCTGCACATGGCCACCAGGGGGAGCAAATAGATGCGCTTGCTTGCTCCCTAACTACCTTTCCCCACAGACAAACCAGCTGCAGCTACTCTGGCCCTGGATCCCCTCCCCATGCCCACCAGACTTGTCCTCACCCACGTCACCTCATCCAGTGTCCACCTGTCTTGGACTCCGGCCTCATACCCACCCCTTAAGTATCTAATTGTGTGGCAGCCTTCTAGGGGTGGTGCCCCCAAGGAGGTAAGAGGGGGTCCCCTGGTTCAACCTCTCCTTGGGAGCTTGGGCCGCTGACAGGACTCTGCCAGCCTGGCTCAGGTGGGCTCTGCTGAGCTGTGGGTGGGCACTAGAATGAGGGTTTCCAGCTCACTAAGTCCACATGAGACAGGGAAGCCAAGGGGGTGGACTTGGGAGTGGGTAGCTATATAAGAGGTACCCAACCAGACCAAGCCAGAGTGGGGAGTGCTAAGCAGTGACTGAAGACACCCAGATGTGGTTTTGATGACACACCGATAGACAAATGGATTGTTCCACTGTCTCGCCTGTCTTCATGGTTACCCGGTGCTGCTCTGCTCTGTGTGGGGACCGTATGTTTCAGGATGATGGGACCATGTCCCCCAAGTACACCCTGTTGATGGGATTTTTCTGCCCAGGTGGTGGTGGAGGGGCCTGTCTCATCCACGGAGCTTCGAAACCTGACCTCCAACACAGAATACCTGGTATCTGTGTTTCCCGTCTATGAGAGTGGTTTTGGCAAGAGCCTGCAAGGCTGGGCAACCACAGGTAGAGGGCGACCTTCATCTAGTCCTGCCCCTTTGGGACTACACTGTCAGGGCATAACTCTAGACCCTCTGGGTCTAGAGGGTTCCCACGAGCCACCATTCCAAGCCTCTCTGACCTTGGTATCCTCTTGTAAAAGCAGTGGTGTCATGCATCATTCCTTACTACTGCTGCTTAAGGTGTCCTAAGCCTCCCATCCTGTCTAGCAAGCATAGCACATGTTGAGGACACTAGCTCTCAGCTGTTGATGGACCCACCATGATTTCTGGCTAACAACTGCACTGAGATAGAACTCATATGCTCACACTTGCCCACGTACAGGGTGCAATTGATGGCTGTTAGTATATTCAGGACATTTCCAGGTGTGGTAGCACACACCTGGATTTCCAGAACTAGAGGGGCAGAGACAGGTGGATGGATCTCTAAGTTCATTATGGTCTACATAATGAGTTCCAGGACAGCTAGGGATACAAACAGAAACTGTGTCTCAAAAGACAGAAATATGAATAAACAAAAAAGCACAGTATATTCAAGGCTATTTACACCAAGGCCACCATAGATCATTTCATTGGCACCCCTGGTTTTTCTTCACCCAGTCCTGGCAACCTCGACTCTGCTGTCTGTCTCTAGATCTGCATCTTCTAGTCATTCACAGAGATGGCTTCATGTACTCTCTCTGTGTGTGTGTGTGTGTGTGTGTGTGTGAGAGAGAGAGAGAGAGAGAGAGAGAGAGAGAGAGAGAGAGAGAGAGAGAAGAAGGAGGGAGGGAGGGAGGGAGGGAGGGAGAGAGAGGCTCTTTCAACCTGGAGGTTACATCACTCACTACCTTTGTAGCAAATTGCTTTAGGCCAACAGGATTATCTGGCTCCCCCAGAACTGTGAGCTGAAAACCACAGCCCACTGACAGTTGAGACAAGTGCTCTGATTGGTGGATGTCTACCTAACTGTGCCCATCTATACATCCCTACCTATTGAAAGTCTAATCATTGGGAAAAGGGTTTCTTTGTTCATGTTTATGAGTTCTGCATGTGCCACACTCCTAAGATTACCCTGATGGGATGGTCATCCCCCCTCAGCACCCCTGCCTCCACCTGGGGCACTGACCCTGGCTTCAGCAACACCCAGAACCCTCCACCTCACTTGGCAGCCCTCTGATGGGGCCACTCAATACTTGGTGCGGTACTTGCCGACTTTCTACCCTGGGGAGAAGCAAAGGAGAGAGGTGAGAGGTGGGAAAAGGGAGAAAGGTGGGACAGATGGCGGGGCTTGGTGCTGAGACATGTGTTGCCATGTCCCTGCCAGGTACACGTGGGACAGCCTGAGGTACTGCTGGAAGGCCTGGAGCCGGGCCATGACTATGAGGTTTCAGTGCAGAGCCTTCGGGGACCAGAGGCCAGTGAGGTCCGGAGCATCAGTGCCAGGACTAGTGAGTATCTTTCCCAGGTCACACGTCCACATAGCAGATACCCTGCTCTGGTTTTTTATTTGTTTGTTTGTTTTGTTGTTTTTGTTTTTTTGAGACAGGGTTTCTCTGTGGCTTTGGAGCCCCTCCTGGAACTAACTCTTGTAGACCAGGCTGGTTTCGAACTCACAGAGATCCACCTGCCTCTGCCTCCCGAGCGCTGGGGTCAAAGGTGTGCACCATCGCCGCCCTGCTCCCTTCTCTGTTTTTTTAGCTCCCTCCAGGGTAGGAGACCACATAACTCCGGATGCCCCATATGCTCCTCAGTCCCAGAACATCCCACCCTTTTCCCAGTCCCAAGCGTAGGAATGCCAGCTCCTGAGGCCCTGTTATGCTCTGCAGCTGCCCTGGGGCCCCCAAGACCCCTGAGTTTCTCAGATGTGAACTACAACTCAGCCTGTGTGTCCTGGGAAGCCCAGAGGCCCGTGCGCCTGGTCAAGGTCAGCTATGTCTCTAGTGATGGCAGCCACTCTGGACAGGTAAGATCAAGGGCCCAAAAGTCCTGAGGGCATCCTGGGGGACTCAGAATCTTAGGTAGATTTGGCATTCCCACAAGCCCTGGTAGCCTCGTATTCTTAGGCTCACCCCTCATATTCTTCTTCCCCATGGACACCTCAGTCCCTATCTGTTTATCTTCCTTTTACATAACCTTTGAGATGGTGCAAGGGACACAGTATTGATTATGTCCCAGTCCTCAAAGGGGCTGTGTCTGGCAATTCCTGTGTCTGGCAGTAATTGGGGAAGACCTGAAGCAAGGGCACACACACATACATGCATGCCTAGTGATGTCATGCTGAGACTGTGGCCAGGTCAGACTGAAAGGCAGAATGGCTTGTGGGGTTCAAAGGTGAGACAGGGAAAGGAGTCTCCACTAAGGGAACATTCTGGGGATCTTATTTTGAGAGTCATAGGCTAGCCTTGGCTGTAGATCCTGAGCCTAGGTCCTCATCCTGTCAGGAGCTCATGTGCCTGACTGGTCTGCCTGTTTACCTCCCACAGACTCAGGTTCCTGGAAATGCTACCTCAGCCACCCTGGGCCCCCTTTCTTCCTCTACCAAGTACACCATCCGAGTCACCTGTTTTTACTTCGGGGGTGGCTCCTCCATGCTGACCGGCCATGTGACCACAAGTGAGTCAGTGACATCAAGGCTGGGAGGAGCTGGACTGTGTCCTTATGTCCTGCTGAAGGGCCTATGTTGGGTGTCTGGCTGGCTGTACTAGGCCAGGTGGATACAAATGTCTGTACAGTGATGGAAGGTCTGCCAAGAGACGAGGGGCCAGGGACACTCCTCAGTATAATGGACCCTTAGGTCAGCACCCTACACTTCATTTCTACCCCCATCTTCCAGAGAAGGCTCCCAGCCCTATTCAGCTGTCTGTGGTGGAGCTCCCAGGAGATGCAGTCAAGCTGTCATGGGTGGCTGCTGCCTTGTCTGGTGTACTTGTTTATCAGATCAAGTGGATGCCCTTGGGAGAGGGGAAAGCCCATGAGGTAAGGAAACAGGGAGCAGAAGACCTTTCAGAGAAATTCCTATGGCTCCAGTTCCCAAAACCATGCGAGACTTAGACTCTGTGTCCATTCAAGTCCTGTATCTTGGATTATCTGTCTGCCATAGCCTGTGATCCTGCCTCTTGAGGGGAGGTTCCCTATGATCCAAGCAGACCCCTGGACTCTCCTGTCTTTAGATCTCTGTCCCAGGGACCCTTGACACAGCCACCTTACCTGGCCTGATGAGTCATGTGGAGTATGAGATCACCATCCTTGCCTACTACAGGGACGGCACTCGCAGCGACCCTGTGTCCCTCCGCTACATCCCCAGTAGGTGGCCTTTCCTCAGCTCAGATGGGCTTGGGACAAGAGTAGCACAGAGGGGACCCAGACCCCTGGATCCACATGCCCAGGACCTCATACTTCCACTGGCAAGCAGACTCCCTGAGTTCCTGAGACCGTGGGCTGGACCATTGGATCCGAGCCCATAAAGGGTACAGGCTCTTGAGGTGGCTGAGGTCCAAACTCCCCAGCATGAGTGACATAGTCTCTGTGTAAGACCTTCTAGGGATATCGGGGGACCCAACAGGGGGCATTGTTAGGGTTGGGCAGGGCAGAGCACAAGGTAATGATGCAGGACTGGCTGGCTGGCCTTCTGGTTGTGGGTACTTCCATTCTGGAGAGCCTTGAATTCCACACTGTCTGTGCTACTGTGCAGCTGCAGCAAGCAGGAACCCCCCATCCAGCCTGGTCTTGTCCTCAGAGACCCCCAACAGCCTGCAGGTCAGCTGGACACCACCAAGTGGCCATGTCCTACATTACCGGCTCAACTATGCACCGGCCTCAGGCTCTGGACCAGAGAAATCCGTGAGTCTATAAAGAGCAGGGAGCCACCCAGGGATTTAGGTGCTGGTTTTACCTATCGATTGAGGGTAGCAGCTTCTTTATAGAGGGAAAGATGGACAGAGGGAGTACAGCCTTGGAAGGAGAAGGCAACCTAAGAGGCAAGGCTCAGAGGCCTCCTCCCCAACAGATCTCTGTGCCAGGCACCAGGAGCCACGTTGTACTTCCTGACCTGCTGTCTGCCACCAAGTACAGGGTCCTGGTCTCAGCCGTCTATGGAGCAGGAGAGAGTACGGCAGTGTCTGCCACCTACCGCACAGGTTGGTAGGCACCAAGACTGCGACTCCTTCTAAACCTCAAACCCATGCCAGACTCGAGGTCCAGCTAGACACTGTCAGACCTCAGATTTGGTCAGATCCCAGACTGGGCCAGATCTCACTCAGTGAGACCTCATAGCTCACTCAGAAGCCAGTGCACCCTAGAGCCAGTGAGCTCCCAGGCCCAACACGGAGAGTGGGGCGCCCAAAATAAGTAGTTCTACCCAGGACATAGTCAGGTCTCTGGTGGCCTGGTATCCTCCAACACACAAGGCCAGGCTCAGCTGTGAGGAATCATCTGAGAACCACAGCTGCTCAGGGCATAGGGCCTTCAAAGTCTACGAAGCTCACTGCCCCAGCTATAATATCCCATCTTGGATTATCCAGTCATAGCCCAAATGCCTATGATAATTGGTTCCTCAATGCTCAGTGGATGACCACTGTGACTGGAACACTGGCTGTGGCTTCATCTGCCTTGTATCTGGCTTCAGAGTCAGCCTGTATCTCCTCCTCCAGGCCTGTGCTAGTTGCTGTACCCAGGCATCTCCCTGGCCCTACCCTCTGGTGCCTGGGGTTCACTTTGGGCCCATAACTTTTTGTGTACGGTCCCAGTGGAACCTTGGCTTTGGCCCTGGGTGCACAGGGTAGGCAGGGAGGGATGGAGCAGCAGGGTGGGCATTGCAAAAGGAGGGAAGTGGCGCGTGTGCAGGTCCAGCCGTGCTCACCAGAGGCCTGAAATTGCCCACGAAGTGGTTCTTTTGGTAGTTGGACTAGCTTTGGTGTGACTCACCGCACCCTCCATATCCTCCCAGCAGCCTGCCCAGCCCTGAACTCGGACAGTTCCCTTTCAGGTAGGTCCTGTATGTCTCTGTCATCTGTGCCCTGTTGTTTGCCTCCTCTGCTTTACTTGACTCTTCCAAGGTTGGGGCAGAGCATTCATGATCCAGGATCAACCACAGGGTTGATCCTCTACCTTTTCAGGTAGCACACAAGGCTGTCGGGGAAGTGTTGCTTTTGCTTCATCCAAAGTTAGTATGGGCATGTGCAGGGCAGAGGCAGAGCTGGCTAGCTCCACTTGGGCCCTAGGTGGCTCCCTGCTGCCAGGCATCCAGGTAAGTCATGCCAAGCCTGGAATCCTCATAAGGACCATGCAAGAGGGTAGAGAGAAGAAGCTTGACATGAGGCCTGTCAGGGGATTCCATTCAGCAAGGGAGGGCCTTAAAAGTACTGAGGGACAGATAGGCTTTGTGATATGAAAATTGTATCTCACCTGAATCCCAGCAAGAGAGTCTGCCTGGGGCTTCCACTGCCCTGAAGCTGGCAGGGATGGTGAGTGGTGAGATCCATGGATGGAAGGACCCATGGAATGCAGGGCCAGGGGACAGATGGGCAAGCTCAGCTGCTTCCTTAAAATGGGCCTTGGAAAGGCTGGGCCTCTGCACCCTTGAGTCTGGTGGTGCACAGTTAAACACCAAATCCCTATGTGATTTCACTCTCTGATTTGTGCCAATAAAAGGAGCTGGTACTTGGAGGATCCACCATGACACTAATCATCCCAGTGACTCGTATGCCAGCTCAGCTTATAGCTGGGGTCTGGACCCTAAAGAGTCCTCAGGCTCCAAGGTACAAAAGGGGCTGCTTGAAACTTCTACGCTGGTTAGAGGGGAATTCATCAAGGTCTTCCTTAAAGGGAACAAACTTGGAGCTGGTTTGGGGCAGAGTGTGGGTACTGCTTGGTAGGTGTATGAGGCGGATGGCTGGCTCTGAGTGTCAGGGGTTCCACTGTGTCCTGTATATGTCTTTCCAAGCTGGAGCATTTGGGTGAGCAATTTCCCCACTGTCAGAACTGGAATTGAGGAAGGGGAGCAGGGATAGACGTCAGCCTGGCTAGAAAGGGGCTAGATTTTCCTCTGGAGGGTGGAGCAGTGCTGGTCCCAGGGCCATCTCCAAGACCCTGCTCCAGCCTCTCACTCTGGTGACCCCATCCCAGGCCACCTTTTCAGGCCCTCTCTTCGACATCCTGACACCCCTCTCCAAGTCGAATCTTTGCCCCTGTCCCTCCCTCTTTCCTGATTGCTCCATTCCCTGTTCCACCAGGGTTTGACCTGATGGTGGCCTTTGGTCTCGTGGCAAAGGAGTATGCCTCTATTCGAGGTGTGGCCATGGAACCCTCAGCCCTGGGTGCAGCCCCCACCTTCACGCTCTTCAAGGATGCTCAGCTGATGCGGCGAGCCAGGTGCGAGGGTCTGAGGGAACAGCAATACAAGAAGAGGTTGTGCATCAGGCGATGTTGGTGCACACCTTTAATCCTAGCACTCGAGAGGCAGAAGCAAGTGGATCTCTGTGAGTTCGAGGCCAGCCTGGTCTACAGAGTGAATGCCAGGACAGGCTCCAAAGCTATACAGAGAAACCCTGTCTCAAAAAAAAAACAAAAGAAAAAGAAAAGAAAAGAAAAGAAAAAAAAGAGAGTGAGAAGAGGTTGTACAAAATGGGGTAGGAAGAGTTAATATAGCCTGCCACATACTTTGTGGCTCTGCCGTGACCCTGGCCCATAACTGACTAGCCTCTGACATCATGTCAGCAAACCATAGACTGGTTGGCTTCAGCCCTATATACTCCAGAAATTCTCATTTGACAGATTGATGAAGCCTTGTGTATGGGAGTAGGCTCCGTGCCCAGCATGACTTGAAGCCATGCCTGGGCCTTTTCCATATGTAGCTCAGGGATCATTCACATTCAGAAAATTCTGCATATAAGCCATGGCACTGTTCCCTCTGCTTTGTATCCTGATGGGCAAATCTACTACTACCCTTGGTTTGTGAGAAGTGGGTGCTTTCCAAGAAGTCATGAGAAGGCACATGAGGTCCCTGTTATCTAGGAGACACCAATTTCTGCTTACCCTATGCATGAGTCATTAACCTGAACTTGGATGCACAGTGTGATTGAGCAGCAGGCTTGCTTCCCACACCCTGAAAGAACTGAGACCCGGGCATGTAATGGAAGTATAAATAAGACCTCACAGAGGTATGCAAGGAGCGCTGGAAAGCTCTGACTGTCATATGCTCCCATGAACAAGAAAGGGGGCCATGGGTAGACAGAGCATGGCCCCTTGGGCTTCCACAGCAGTTTGGGGTCCAGGTGCAGGCAGCAAGCTGGGGGTCTTCTCCTTGTTCAAGTTCCTCCATAAGAACTGCTAGAAACTTTGGGCAGGTTGATGCAGAAGCCTCCTGGTCAAGCAGAAGAAGGGTTGGAGATGTCCTTCCTGTCCACTCAGCTGAGACCCACCAGGAACACCATTTTTTCTATAGCTGCATGAATTAGTTAGTAGTCAGATAAGGGTAAATAGAGATCTCCTCCAACATTTATTATTTTGTTGTTGTAAAACCGTTGCTGGTGATGGTCGGCCCTTGTCCTCTGTATACCCACACTCCAGTACCTTATGATCTTCCTTCCCTGGGCATCTCAATAGCCTTCCTATCCATTATGCCCACATTCACAGTAGTGATTTCTCTTAATCGTTCCTCTCCTCAAATGAGTGATTTTTCCTGGAATTCTCTTTCTACCTATTTGCCTTCCTGGGACTCCAAAAGAGGGCGGGACTATTAACTAGCTTCCTCAGAGTGCTCACACAGCTGCTGGGAGTAGAGGAATCCTTTCTTGTGGTGGAGTGGAGAGGCTGCCTGAGGGAGGCAGTTGTGAGGCCTTGTGATTTATTTAGAGAATTGTAGTGTCGGTCTGTGTGTGGCAGCACCTGGAATTCTAGACCTCAGGGGGCCAAGAAAGGATCACTGTGAGTCTAATGCCAGCCCTGGCTATGCTGTGAGTTTCTGTCTCTAAGAAGAAAGAACTATAGGATCATGACTGAGGTGGTATTTCTCTGGCTCTTGGCTTTCATCCTAAGAGCAGACAAATGTTAAAAAGGAAGATTGCAGACTGATAATAATAGTCTTATTGAGTGACTCAAGACTCCATTCTTTGTCCTTATTCTGCCCTTAGAGAGCCTGGATCAGCATGGGCATGGATTTCTCCATTGATTGGTCTGATAACTCAGCGTATATACTCAGTGGGAGCAGCTCTTGAGTCCCAGGACTGTTTCAGGGACCTTCCTGCTAGAGTCTCCTTGGTCAGGCCCCTTTTAACCCACAGTGCCGCTGAGTGTAAGGGGCTCAGCAGCCCTTGCACAGTGACCTCCACTGTAGCTGTGACCTGATTTGGGGGAGTAGAGGGTCTGTTGGCCCAGGGGCCTTGGGACTTCTTGCTCTGCTACACTCCCATGTTCCTTACAGAGAAACCGAGACAGGGAGACCTGAGCTCAGTCCTCTAAAATCTGTTCCGATCCCGTCTCTCCAGTGATATCTACCCAGCAGCTCTGCCACCAGAGCACACCATTGTCTTCCTTGTGCGCCTGCTCCCCGAGACACCCCGAGAAGCCTTTGCCCTGTGGCAGATGATGGCCGAGGATTTCCAGCCCCTCGTTGGGGTTCTGTTGGATGGTGACTGTGGGCCCCATATCACCCTTGGCACCTGGGAGGGATGGGGGTCTTGCTGATCCTCTTAATCTCATGGCAATAAGGATGCCAGCCCCCAGGCCAAGCTGTGGGTTTCCCTGGGGAACTGGGCGTGAAAGCCCATCTTCAGCCAGAGCAGATATCCTGGATATCACCGTGTCTTTGTATCATGGGGGCCGTACTTGGACCTTGGGTCAGCCCTTTGTTCTGTTACTGCCAGCGTCTTCAGCTTACCACCTCATCTGCTCCTTATCCTCCCTGGCAGCTGGCAGGAAGTCTCTGACTTACTTCAACCATGATCCCAGGGCAGCCTTGCAGGAGGTCACCTTTGACCTGCAGGATGCAAAGAAGGTTTTCTTCGGAAGCTTCCACAAGGTCCTGGGAACCATCTGCCTGACCCCTGCAGGCCCTGACCCTCTGGCCTGGCCTTCCCTGAATGTGGTTGTCTCCCTTGAGCATCAAGCATTGATCCATCCAGGGCCTTTGACCCTGATGCTCCCATATTATGACTTTCCCTTCTTAATTTGGGTCAGAGAGCAAATTTTTCTCTTTGGGAGGCTCCTGCAGTAACTTCACCTGGGGAAGCTGAGGCCCCAGTAGGTCCCAGAGTGGAATCGGGATCTGACCCCAGGCCCTATGTGCTGGGTTCCCTTAATCTGGTTTTGTCCTGGTGTGGGGTGGGAAACTCACTATGGTTTCTACAGGTCCATGTGGCTGTGGGCCACTCTAAGGTCAGACTTTACGTGGACTGTCGGAAGGTGGCTGAGCGGCCTATTGGGGATCCTGGCAGCCCACCCACAGCTGGTTTCATCGCACTAGGGAGGCTAGCCAAGGCCAGAGGGCCACGGAGCAGCTCGGCCACGGTGAGTCTGGGCCTTGTCTCATGGGGCGGGTGGACTCTGCCTATGATGCTGATTTTCCCCCTGCTACACAGTTCCAGCTCCAGATGTTGCAAATCGTGTGCAGTGACACCTGGGCAGAGAAGGACAAGTGCTGTGAGCTTCCTGCATTGGTAGGTGGCCCCAAGGTCCTGGACACTGTCCGTTGGCCCTGCGAGAGAACCACTAAGGGCCACAGAGTCTGCGTAGATGGCCTCTCTAGACCCTTGCTGAGAGAGATAAAAGCAGACTTTCTGGACGAGCTGGTCAGGGGCCTGAAGGGAACACGTGCAGGACATCCCTATTCCACTTATAACAGCTACGTGTCAATTAGAAGTCCCTGGTCAGTTCTAAGGAGAAGTTGCTCCCCCTTCGCTATAGGCCCAGGCAGAAGCTCATTCAGGGAGGCTGTGGAGCCCTCCTACGTCTTCTGGGGACTTATTTATCCTCATTAGTCTCTTGAGAGCTCATGCTGAACTTGGCTATTCAGGGAGCCTGAGAGAAGAGCAGGAAAAAGGAGATACAGCGCTCATTTGGGTATCCAAGAGGGGCACACAGAGCCTGCTGCACACACAGGATTTAGCAGCCTTCATTCTGACCTGCCCTACCTCTGGTCATGACTCTAGATGCTCCCTGGAGTCAGGTGTCCTTTGGACACGCTGGGTCTTAAGATCAGATGAGATCGAGGGGGGGGTCCATTGAGCAAATTATTTCTTTTCTTCCAGAGGGATGGAGAGACATGTCCAGCCTTCCCTTCTTCCTGTGCCTGCTCATCTGAGACCCCTGGGCCACCAGGGCCCCAAGGCCCTCCTGTGAGTTCCTCCCCTGGGCATGACCAGGGACTTCTGCTGTCATTGGCGGAGACAGAGTGGTTGATGGGCCTCCCACACCACCTCACAACAGCTTTCAGGAAATCAAGCCCAACAGCAGCCCTCCCCAGCCATGTTACACAGAGGATAGACTTCCTTATGCTTCTTCTATGGCCATTAGGCCCAGAAGCCTAGTCTGGCTAACCCCTCAACACTGGTTGAGCTTTTCTCTTTTTTATATGTCCTCCAT